CCGGATTAGAACTTTTTCCTCCAGACTCCAAGTGTTTAATACCCTATGGATATATCATAAGTTCATCATGATCCACCCCACATCAGGAACACACGAGAAAGAAAGAGTATGTATACGTTTACTGCAGGCAAGTCAAAGGCAAGAAGAGTTCACTTAACAGTTAGATCATTGTCCATATGAATCATCCTGAGATGTCAATTAAACTGTTAAAAGGATCTCCTTCTTCCCATCATCCTTACTTTTTCTCGGATAGCATAAATTCGAAGCATAAAGACAATGTGTTTTGTTTGTCATAAAAACATTACCAGTCAGAAAAGTATGAATAATATCAAAAGCATACATCAAAAACAAATCAGGCATTAAAAGCCTAAAACAAAAATTATATTTATTATCCCAAATATACTGTCAATAAAAACAAAATACATGGTTCTACTTTCTCTTCGGATCGAAGGGAGTAGATTCAAAAGCATCCATTACGGTAGGACTTGGGGTAGGAGGAATTGAAGCCGCAGGGGCAGAAGAGCTAGGAGTACCCTTCAGGTATGCCTTCACCATCTCGGCAAAGCGGATTTCAGCTTCCAAAGCCTGTGGCCCTTCATTATATGGGAAGTGCACCCCCACCTGCTTGTCAAAAGCGTCCGGATCCATTGTCTTAGGGCCTGAGCCCTGATTATAGCCAGACCGGAATGCTTTAGCACTAGCCAGGTGTGCCAGACAGGAGTAGCGCCCCTGCATTTGCTTCCCCGCCTTGAAGCAAGCAGTAAGAGCCTCGGTCAGGCGTTGAATTTCGGCCTGAAGAGAATCCACCTTAGCCTTAGAGGCAGCCAACTGCCTCTTATACACATCCTTGGCTTCAGTAGCTATCTTCAGATTGGTAGAGGCAGTGGTGGCTCTCTTCTCTGCATTGTCAAGATCCTTCTCTAGCTTCTTGATGGAGAGGGATTGGGCTTCAGCAGTGGCGCAGAGGGCCATGGTGTGGTATAGACTCTGTATAAAAAGATAATAGAGGAACAAATATGAGCATAAATGGAAACATAAGTAAGCAAGAGTAACATAATTCTGAAGGAGCAATACGAACCTCTATGGCCCGGACCGGGGCAGAGGAGAGTAGTTGTTCCAACCCCATTTGGCTGATGGCTTCCTCGTCCTTTGGGAGCCACATCCCTCGGGCCACAGCCAGTGCAGCTGAAGGGTCTGTGATCACAGAATCCCCTGAATGCAGGACTGACTTGTCAGCCCTGGTGAAGGAAGGAGTCCAAGGAGCCCCAGTTTCAGCCAGAACATATGCCCTGACTTCATCTTCAAGTTCGGCCTCTCCAGCCTTTTTCCCTCTACTTTTAGAAGGGACCTTGCCCTTGCTAGAGAATGGGGGGTTGAGGCGAGATTTCTTCATTGGTGGTTCCTCAACCTCCACCTCACCCTCAGTAGACCTAATAACGACCAAGGGTTGGGCATCTTCAGCTTTCTTTTTTAAAGCCTCAGCCCTCCGTATCTCCTCCTCAGTCATGGGGAAACTATCAAAGGATGGTAGAGACAGATCCATGAGGTCTGCAGCAACAGCACTGGAGGCAATATCCTTGAGATTTGAAGAAGTTAGCAGGTCCTCGATAGGCGAGGGGTCACTCCAGACTCGTTCCTCAAGAAAAGAAAGTTTGTTCCTTGCTACGGAAGATGGAAATGTAACTGAAAAAATACCAAGAAACTCATAAGTACGGCGAAACATTAAGACTTGGCAAGGAAAATAGCCAGAACACTTGGTATGAAGGGAGGTTAATTATTCTATACCTAACTTCTCGAACTTGCGCGGGATGGGGAGCGTAATTGATTGGGGCACGGACCATTTTCCTTTAACTATAACCATCATTTCTTTCCACTTCTTCTCGGATGAAGGAAGGTTCGTGCATATCCTCTGATGAAGGGTAGAGGTAAAAAAGAAGCGACCAGGCTCGGTCCCATGCTTAGATATATTATACGTAAGCAGAAGGTCGGCAAAGGTTAAATCCAGAGCCTCTAATTTCCGGCGCACCAACAGTGCCGAAAAGATGCGAAAGAAATTAGGATTTACCTGAAGGGGGGCAAGACCTAACTTGTTGAAAACTAAATGATAGAAGGAGTGAAGAGGGAACCGGAGGGCGCTAAGATGCCCGACCGAAAGAAGCAACTCACTCTCTTCAATTCCCTCGCCGGAGGTAAAATCAGCACCCTCGGGATATTCTACAATTTCTACTCCCTCAGGAATATCAAATTCTTCCATTACTGAAGCAACATAGAACTTGATGCGGCGAATAGAGATGATTGCTTTCCTCTCTTCATGAGTAAGAACATTATCAGAGCCTGAGGTGGATGTCTCGGCTGGAAGGGGGGAAGTACCTAATTAATTCAACGAAAGACGATCTGTAGAAACCCTAGGAGGGGGAACCCTAATGCGAACGGGGGAAGATGAAGCTGTGGATTCAGAATCCCCAATGTCTATACGTTCGGAAGTAGATGAAGTACTTATAATGAAAGATTGAAGAGAAAGATGCAAAAAAAAACTAACCTGACAAAGCGATGGAATGAAGAACGTAGGAGTGCAGCTAGGGCGAATGTAACTCTTGCAGAATCTTGTACGACGGAGTAATAATGAAAGTCCTCGAACCGTCTCTGAAGCAAAGTAAAAAACCGATTTCAATTCCCTCTTTAATGGGAGCCGCCACTCAATTAAAAATGAAATTTGGGGCAAAGTGTGGAGGGAAAAAAACTCCCTCCAATAAGAAGCGTACACGTCATCACTACACATATCTACATTCCAATGACATATGAGGCCCGTCCGGATCAAGCCCAAATTATATTATCTTTCAGCCCAATACCACTTATGTTGGACCTTTAACACTGGATGAAAGCCTTAACCAGCCCAATATCACCTCATTGGAAGTACCGGCCCCTTCATGAAGTCATCCAACCCATATTATATCCGGCCCAACTACACCATCTATGGTCTAGTCCTAATAAGAAAAGGACTTAACACAAAGGAAGTTTCCGTATGAGAGATATTTTACATAGGAAGAGTTATACAAAGAAAAGAACTCCATTTAAGGAGAATATTGTACATGGAAAAGGATTGGAGGACAAGCAATGCGAGTCCTACTATGATTCTACTATACTATTTGTGTATAAATAGAGGCCCAGACCTCCAATAAAGGAATCAAGCAATTCTACGCTTTTCTATACACTATTCTTATTTATTTTTATTGTTTTTGAGTGAGTTGTTTGATTTTTCTCAATCATTATTGGTTGAGCGGAATTTTGCACCTACACACACCGTTTCAAGTTGGGACATATTCACAATCTCTTCTGTCGCCTCAGTTTACACACGCTCTCTCACTCTCTCTACAACAGAGAAGACTCAATAATCGTGATAAGGCCATCAAGGTCACCAATTAAAAGAAGATTCGGGAACGAATTGCATCCTTCGAGTTACAGATACAGAGCCGGTGTTCGCCGGAATGTCAACATCGCCGGAGAAAGCATAAGTCCGCAGCAAAATCGGATCTTGACGAACTCTAGGGTTTGGGATTAAAGGGAGAGGGAGTTGGCTTGGGAGAGGATGAAATCTACGACGTCGTGATATTTGGGGTTTGGGAGTACGGTGTTAATTCGGAGGTATGCAGAAGTTGGGATTAGAGATGGAATGGGATTTCTTGATTTAGGGGAGAAATTGTTGGACAAGTTGGGTTGGAGCTGATTGACGAGTTCTTTATGACTTATTTATATATATACATATGTATATATATATATATATATATATATAGTATATAAATATAAGTATTTCATGATGAGTTATGGTAAGTTTTTTTTTTTTTTTTTTTTTATCTTTTCTGAAATTGGTGTGCAATTGAACAAGGGCAAATAAAGCAATTGGTCCTTCAATCGCACTCTCTGGAAACCATTGTTGAACATGGAAATCTCTTATAATTCTGGGGGAATCGTCCCTATCCAGAAACGACGGTTGATAGAGAGATGATATATATATCTATAGGGGGACAGCTCTGGGAATGGGCAAGACGGGAGTGAAAGCCGTACGACTTAGCTCCGTCGTATCCTTGTAAACATCATCCACTCCTGCTGATAAGTCAGTGAATTTCTTCTGTACTTCTCACGTATGCTTCTTCGGACACGTTTCCACCAAATGATCAATTCTCTGACAAGGATAACATACCTGAGGCAACCATTCCTATTCCAAACTTGATAGCACAATCCCAGCCCAATAACATCAATTTCACCATTGTCAGAGAATGGTTGGGCTGGGATTGTGCTATCAAGTTTGGAATAGGAATGGTTGCCTCAGGTATGTTATCCTTGTCAGAGAATTGATCATTTGGTGGAAACGTGTCCGAAGAAGCATATGTGAGAAGTACAGAAGAAATGCCTAAGGGCATTTTGGATATAAGGAAGGGCAATTTTGGTATTTAAGGTCTTAAAATGGTCATGTGCCAACTAACGTCCATTTTCTACAGAATTTTTTACCAGAGGTACTTAGTAGCACATTTTCATATCTAAGTATGAATTTATATAAACAAATAAAACAATAGAGGTATAATTTGCACAAATTAAAAACTATACGGATGTTTTTCAGACTTTCCCCCTGTATGTATATATGGAACACTATATAGCATTAAGGAATTCGATTGAGTTAACTCAGCTATATGTCCGCATAAATGGACGGAAAAACATTAAAAATGACCACAATCTATAAAACCCAAACTCTGAACAGACATGCTTAACACAAAGAAAATGGTCCTAAGAATTATAAACCTCGTAACTAAAGACCCAAGTTGGTGTTTTTTTTTTTTTTTTTTTTTTTTTTTTTTTTTTTTTTTTTGGCCTTTCTTTGTTTTTTGGTGGTAGGCAACTAGAAACCCAAGCTCTCTGTACACGACTGAATGTTGAAGGAGCTCAATTCAAGTAAACATACAAGTAAGTCGATTAGAAAGTAGCAGGTAATAGAGCAAACCACAAACCACTGCTTTGTGGACCCATGATTGCGACGACAGCATAGGAAAGACCGCACTCGGCGAGCTTCACAGTCTTCATGAAACTTTGGAGACCGACGACATTGAAATTGCCATGTCCGTCAATCAATTGCGTGGCACAGCATTCTTCTAGTCCAACCATGACTAATATATATACACAGATAATACTCGAAACGCTTGTATACACAGCTACACACTAACAAAGTGTATATATAGGAATTGCAAAGAAGCTAGGGCTTTTCTGTCAGACGTAGACAGGTTAGAGAGAGAAAACAGAGAGAGAGAGAGTACCAAGGTACAAACAAGGAGTTGTAGTCTCTTTTTATCAGAGAAAGGATAGCCTCGTTATATATATATAGTTCTCCAACCAATTCCAAAAAGAAAAAAACTTGGGTTATTCTAACTTCCCCCGCACTCAATCTGCCTCTTTTCGTACCACTCCCGCACTCCTTTGCTAAAACTTCAACTTGGGTTATTCTTCTTCTTTTATTGTATCCATAGTATTACCCAATAAAATTTATAGAAGTTGTATTGTCTACAGTGTCTTTCAAACATGGTGATTCATAGGGTAAATGAAAAATATATATATATATATATATATATATATATATATATAGTAAAATTTAAAATAGAATAGAATAAAATGACCATTCTTATTTTATTGTTTGATTATAGATATAAAATGTAGATCGGTTAGAGAGACCGGTTAGAGAGAGAAAAGAGAGAGAGAGAGAGAGAATAAAAGGTCCAAGCATGGAGGATAGCCATGTTATGCGTAAATCATACTAGTAGTATATTTTCTCTCCAAATGATGGGAAAGGATATATATATATCTAGTTCTCCTACCAATTCCAAAAAGAGAAAAACTTGGGTTATTTTAACTTTCCCCGCACTCAATCGGCCTCTTTTCGTACCATTCCCGCACTCTTCGGCTGAAACTTCAACTTGGGTTCTTCTTCTTCTTTTATTCTCTCCCTCGTCTGAGTATCCATAGTATTACCCAATAAAATTTATTGAAGTTGTATTGTCTACTAGTGTCTTTCAAACATGGTGAAAGTTTGAATTTTCATACGGTAAATGAAAAAAATATTTCTATAGTAAAATTTAAAGTAGGAGAGTGGTACTTACTTTTAAAGTAATGTTCTATAAAAGATATAGATAGGTGTGATTTTTTTTTTTTTTTTTTTTTTGTCAAGTAAATATATATCTATCAATTTTATTTTTTATTTTTTTTAATTATTTTTGTTTTATAGGCGAAGGTGCAATTTGTATAGATGGGATTCCTAACGCATTTTTTATTTACTTTTTAATAATTTGACAAGTTTCATATGTAGTGGAATAAAAATTGTATGAGAAAAAGTTAATGTAATACAAATATTTTTTAAAAAGCGTGTATCACAAGTGCATGTGATAAGTTAAAGGAGAATTGGAGACACTACAAGAAAAACAGTTTTTTAGAATGCCTTTTTTGCCACAGTTTTAAAATAACCGTGGTGAAATATATATTTTCTACCATGGTTAAAACCGTGGTAGAAAGTGTCTTTTACCACGGTTATTTTAAAACCGTGGTAGAAGATTCTTTCTACCACGGTTAAGGGAAAATCATGGTAGTAATTGTATTTTCTACAACGTGTATAAAAGAATCGTGGTAGAAAGTGAATTTATTTCACCACAGTTATAAAATAATCGTGATAGAAAAGCGAATTAATTTAACTCAGGTTTAGGCCCGCTAATTGTACCACTATTTCTACCACGGTTAATAAAAAATCGTAATAGTAAGTTATTCTACCACGGTTCAGGCACCATGGTAGAAAGTGAATTTGGTGAAAGGCTTTACACGGGTCTTATTCCCGCTACTTAAAATTTTAGGGCAAATCATTTCAGACCACACACACACGGACAGACCACAGGCGGGCAAATCATTCCAGCCTCCCAAATTGCCTCTATCTGCAATGACCCGATTATTTTCCTTCCTTTCCTTTTTTCGATAATTTCTTTTTTTGTCATTTTCCCTATTTTGTCTTTTTCCAGTTTATCGTTTTCCCTTGCATGACCTCACTTTTTGTGCTCGGATTTGATTCCGGCTTTACATGCATCCATAATATTTGAATTCCATGATAATTGTATTTTTACTTTGTTAGAAAATACATTCTAATTGCTTACTTTTTCGTAAAGGGCATGGATGCATACTTTATTTGAATTAATTCTTGATTTTGGGGTTTTAATGTAATTATGTAAAATAATTTTTTTTTTTTTGGGACCATTTTGCAATTTAAATTGTAAGATATCTTGAAAAATGACCTTTTTGCAATTTTTAGAAAGTGTGACAAGTGTCACACTCTCATGGAGCCACTTGATGGCATTTAGGTGGAGAGACTAGGAAGCATAATCTTTTGACATTTGGAGGGTGGAGATTCACCCATTTGTTGACCTAGGATAGATGCACTTGTGTAATACCCCTATTTTCCAAAAGGATAAAATTGGAATTTAAGTTTATTTTTGTGCATTTTTAATTGATTTTGTGTCTATTTGTTTATGTGATTAATTGTTTTATTTGTATTTGATTTAATTGTTGATGGTGTATTTGAATTTGCCTTATTTGATTCATTAGTATTTAATTTAATTTTGGTGGGTTGCTTTGTTAAGTATGTGTTGAATTGTTTTATTTTTATTTAATTTAATTGTATTTTAGTTGTTGTAATTGAATTAAATTCATTTTTAAATGCTATGTTATTTTATTTATTTATCTTTAAAACGAGGTTGGGCTTGGATATGATTAACGGACTATTTGAATAATGTAAAGGGGTACAGTTTTTACCCATGGAAGTATATACATGTATATATGGGTATATATGTATATAGGGTAGTTTTAATTATTGGTATTTATTAATAATTAAACTGGTGTTGTTTATCATATTTTAATATATGTTATAATTTTAGGGTTACGTGTATATTCTCACGTATTTAACCGACTTGAATTATAACTTTTGTGGTTGCCCTTTTCTTTTTAGGATTAGAATTAGAATTAGGGTTTTAGTTTTCTAAACCTATAAATATATTATTAGACATCGGCTTAGGGTTAGGAATCAATAAAACTTCATTCACAAACACTCGTTCATAAACAGAGAGTTATAGAGAGAAAACAGAGAGGTTGTGAGAAACAGACAGAACAACTTTGGTGAGGGCTGGGCCATGGCTTGAAGAACAGACATGGGAGAAGGGAAGATTAAGCCCTAGGAGACTGAACAGTGAATTGGACGTCGTCAGAAAGCTTAGGAAGACGGCGACAAGGTTTTGAATCCAAAACTGTAAAGGCAAGTTCTTTCCTTTCTCTCTCCCGTTGCCTGTGTTCTGTGCATCCTTAGAGAGTCTCTAGGGTTTTAATTGGTTATTAAATTGAATCTTAGATGCTTATTATATGCTATATCAATTTTCTATATACGTGAATTTACTTTGTTATAGTCCATGCAAGTTTGATTTGGTTTGATTACAATGTTTGTTCTTCCTAAGCATGTTTGATCAGGGAATGTTCTAAGGTTTTATTTAATGCTAACTGACTTAAGTAAGAGTATGGGATGGTTCTGGACTCATTTAGGACTCCTAGTAACAGTTTTAAAAACAAACAGAGGGAGTGGAAATGGCCGGTGTTGAACCAGATGGTCGGAAAACGGGACTGGAGGAGAACAGAGGCTCAGAGGAATGAAGAGCCGGCTCTTGGAATTGAAGAGCCGGCTCCCATCATTCAAGAGCCGGCTCCAAGAAGGCATGGAGCCGGCTCCATGCTTGCAAGAGCCTGCTCTTGCATTCTAAGAGCAGGCTCTCTCCTATTTTCTCCTATTTTGACGTATACTGGGTTTTTGGGTGCACTGTGTGGACGATTCTTGAGTCTGGAACTGTGTGGGAAGTAGACTAAGATGATTAACATGCAACCTAGGTATTTTTATAAGTTATTAGTGCATAAGAGATGCAATTACGCAAGTGGAATTAACAGAGGGAACTTAAACAACTCTATATGCTAGTTGTGGATAGAAAGGATTTAATTGCCTAAGTTTAAACTAGCAATTTAAATGGATTATAGCATGAGTTAAAACTTGTTTTAGAGGTATAGAAGGGTTTTCATTTAAGTGAATGGAGCAGGCTCTGTGGTTTTGGGTGGTTTTGGGTGTTACAGCGTATGTTACATAAGCTTGAAACCTTAGAGAAGGCTCTTGAAAAACTTAGAGAAGGCTCTATCCACTTAGAGAAGGCTCTTGAAAAACTTAGAGAAGGCTCTCCCTTAGTTGGAGGCGTCTCTTGTAGCTTAGAGCCTTCTCCAGTTTTTTTAGAGAAGGCTCTGTGATCTTGTGCAATACAGAAGCTTAGTCACGTAATGTTTGGTCCAAACTGGCTTATTTTCAGCTGTGTTTGGGTTACTATAATGGTTTTAAATCTTAATTCATGGAATATTCAAGCCCTAGGATGAATTAATTTATTTGTAAGCTAATGTTTTAAACCGTAAGAAAATCTAAAGCAAGTCGCAGTCAGTTTACGAACTTGGAGGACCGGAAGGATTTAATTGTGCAAACTGTGTCTAGAAATTAAAAAGAGTTCGAAAATGGATTCCAAACACTATATCATGCTATACTAGAGCCTCTTTTAATAAATTAAGGCCTTAGTACTCATGGATTTAACCGTAAGAAAGTGTACAAAGCAATACAGGCAGTTAACGGATGGAAGGGTTTAATTGCCTAATTTAATTTTAATAATTTAACGGTTTATGTATATATTTATAAATCTTATTTTGGTTGCATGCTAGGATCATTTAATTAACAAGTTTGATCTATGCATATCTTGGATGTTAATGGTGGAAATACTATATTTTTTTTCTGCAATTACTTGGACTATGGATTTGGATTTTAATTGCTAGACTATCAAACTATTTATGCAATTACTTGGATTAAATGCTTGGATTGTAATTGCTGGATTATTAAATGGTGTATGCAATTACTTGGATTATGGATTTGGATTTGTATTGCTGGACTATTAAACTGTTTTAGCAATTATAGGGATGATATTTTGGGATTATAGTTGATGTACTGTTGCAATTATGTTTTATTAACTACTTGGATTTTGTGGATTTATGTGATGTACTGATGGAGTTGTTGCATGATTTACAGATCATATGCATGGTATGCACCGGTATGGGTTGGTGGTATACGGAGGGACGGATTAGATCAAAATGTTAATTCCAACCCATTCATACATACGGAATGGATTAACTAAAATAGTTAAATCCTACATGGTTTCATGTCTAGTCAACTAAAATAGTT